ATGAGCGCGTACATCGGCGAGCCTGTCAAGCCGAAGGATACAGAGTCCTTTTATCTGCACAGCCCGCACGATCTCGTCTACACGAGGATTACGCGATTGTTCGCGGACACGGACAAGCATCGACACTTTGAGAAGAAGGACGAGACTTTGACTGGTAAGTGGCGCGAGTCCCAGATATCTCGCGCTGCTGCCGAGACTTCGACTCGGTACGCGCGTCGTTCGCTTCCGGTAGCGACGAGTCGTAAAGCGAAACATCGAAACTCTGTCCTCGCTGAAGCAACGGCGAGCGACTCTACGTCGCCTCTCGCTGCCGCACGTTTTGTCGCAAAACATTTCCAACGACCAGCGACACGTAGAAAGACTTCGTCCACGCTGGGCTTTGTTTCGTTGAATTTTGTTTTTTCTTATCTTTAGCGATCTCGATTGCAACGAGCAACGATATTTCGTCGCTGTACATAGTTCTAGAGCTAAGTTCGAGGTCCACGAAGTTCAATATCGTCGTGTGGAGTCAGAACGTAGGAAATATTTGTCGATTTCTGCGTACAATAGAATCTTCGTCGTATTATCGACAAATTGTATTCTCTGTACCAATCGGACGTACGTGGGTTGGTTGATTACAGTTGTCTGGAAAATGCAGTTAGGACAGTTCGAAACTAGAGCGACGACTTGTCGCTGGCAACAGAAATACGAAAAACGCTGGAGAAACATTCGCTACGACTTTGTTTCAACGTCAATAAAAAATTCCTCGCTGTTGCTTTAGCGTGGACTTTAGAGAATTTTAGAGATACTCGTTACGCCGCGGCGCCGTCTCGACCGATCGACCAAACGGTCATCCATTGGTCTTCTGAATTTTCAGTGAAAGTGGACGTACACTTCAACAATGGCGTTCTCGACCGATCGTCCGGCGAAAACGGCTACACGACCAAAGCCGAAATGACGCGCGAGCCGTCCGAGCACGCGTACGAGCAAATTTGTTTGCGCCAGGATCCTGAGACCGCTGGCATAGTCGCCAGCCCGCAGAGGAAGGTGCAGATCGACAACGTATCCGATCGCAGGTACGCGGCACCAATCGCGCGCTCGTCAGCTCGCTCGTAGTCGTCCCGGTCGATCGACGATACGTAGTAATACATACCGCTAAAAGCAGCATGGATTTCGCAATAGTCGCGCGGATCTTGTTCGCTTTCGAAACGCGTTCGTTTCCGCTAATGCTCGGTCAGCCGTTTCTCGCGGAAGGACGACCTCGATATTTCCGCTGGAACGTAGCCGGTTTAACAGGACCGGTGTGTATAACCAACGCGAGGACGAGTGTCGTCGATCGACGAGCTTGAAATGGTACGAGAGTGGCGCACGAACGGACTGGTTGGCGATATGAACGTGACGAATCGATTTCAGCCGATCTCGAAAAACCGATCGCAGATACAGTAGATCGAGTAGCGCGAGCGAGTCGTCGAACGTCAGCAGCGAGATTCCTTGCTTCTCGTCGAGCGCGTCGACGCCGTCGCTGTCGCGGAACAGCAGCAACGAACGAGCCGGAAAGAAGTTTACCGTGGAGTCGTCGTCGCACGGTACGTTGAATCGACGAGTGCGTTTTCAAACGACAACCGCTGATCGATCGTCCATACGATTTTCAGAGAAAAAGAACACGACCGGTACGTCGTCGCAAGTAGAAAGCGAAAAGGAGATCAAACCGGCGAACGGCGGAGTCAGGTAAGTAGGCCGAGCGATAAGGCCGTGCGCCGCCAGACAGAAAATCGAAGAGAAGCGAACTGATTGCATTCGATTCTAAGCGATTTTATCGCGACGAAACGCGTCGGACGACTCGTTGGTTCGACGACTCGCGCGATATATCGTAGGCAAGAACTAGCTCACGATGTACTTCTTCTTCGTTTTCTTCTTCTTCTTCTTCTTTTTCTTCTTCTTCTTTTCCTTCTTCTTCTTCTTCTTCTTCTTTCCCTGCATCGCGCGTCTTTCTCAGCTTCGCCAAGCCACCGCCTCCACCACCACCGCCCCCACTACCGGAGAAGGAAGACGTCGTGGTGCTCGTGGTGAACGCCAAGCAAAACGCGGAACCTATAACCAGGGACGAGAAAAGAGACGTCTCCGGTGAAACGAACCGGAATGGAAGAACCGAGAACGGAGCGAACCTTGCGTCTGCAGGTAAGCTAGAAGATATAGCTCTCTCGAGCTGTCGATAACTTCGTTTCTTCGATCCTCGATTCGTCTCGCTCGATCTTCTGTCATTTGTAAAAAAAAAAAAAAAAAAAGAAAAGAAAAAGGGTAGCTAAGCTAAGGGAAGCGCGAGAGTGAAAAGCGTAAATCGAAAAATGGGCAAAGAGAAAAGCGGATGAGTCGAAGAGAGAAAAAGATAGTGGCAGGGGGGGNNNGGAGGGGAGGGGGAAATGAGATGGAGTAGAAATAGAAGAAGAGGGTGGGCGAGATTAATCGAGTCGAACGATCGACCGATTTAAACCAGGTATTTTTACGTCGCTGAACGTGGTTTAACGATAATGATGATAATAATTAAAGCCTCGGTGAATCGCAAAGACGGCCACTTACTAGACCATAGCGCTCATCGGGCATATAATACACTTACCTAGATTTCACTTGTCCGACGCGTACTACGATTCGTTTCCCCCACCTCGTTTCTGTTTCGGAACAGCGATCAACAAGTCCGACGTATCCTGCGGCGAGCATCAGCAGCCGGAAGTGCCTCCTGCCAGTCCACCGGCGGACACCGAGGAAATTAAGACGAACCAAACGTCCCATCTGGTCAATAAACATATGGTGCTACCGTTCATACCGCCCAAGTTCGCCAACGCGGACTCCAACACTCTGCTCAAGCCGTCCGAGTATCTCAAGAGCATCTGCAAGATTTCGTCAAAGAGCAGCCTGTTGAAAGCAAGGTCGGTAGGATAGGTTGACGAACGATACCGATATCGCTTTTATACGATGCTGGTCGGGATCGCTCGTCTCGTCGCGTTCGCCTATCGAGGTACAGAGAAATGAAAAGTTGGCTAGAGAGATGTCATGCGTCGCTATATCGTCTTATTTCTATGTACGTGACACTTTAGGCCAATACGCGTGTTTATCTTGACGACTGCACCGGATCTATCAGAAATAACCAACCGGACTCGCGTTTCTTCGCCTAGCCATCTTCTCGTTTCAGCAGCGATATCTCAACTTCGGAGCCCAAAGTGTATCGAGTCAACGAACTTTAAAATGAATCGAATCGATGTTGCAACAACCTTGTAACGAGATATGGACTAAATATCATTTTTAGATTTATATCATATTATATATCGGGAAGAGTGAAGAATTTGATAGGAAAAATTTTTAAAACGTTAATTTTTTTCTTTTTTTTTTTTTCAAACGTAGACTCGATACACTCTGATTTTGGGGATCGTATATATATATAGAAATATACGGAAGTATATACGTTACGGTCCAAGTGACTAATAGGTCATTATTCGTAATGCTTAGTCATTACAGTTTTAAGGTTTCAAATTTATTACAGTGTCCGATTTTGGTTGCAGTTATTCGTAACGACCGTGTATCATAAATAATGTATTACGTAGTCGGTTAACGCATAACATATCTGAGGAAACGCGTTCGCAGATCGGTCGACAATTTGGACATACAAAGTAGAAGCGGTGACCGAAGAGAAGGCTTCGTGAGACCGGAAGGGACCGAGGAACAGGAGCAAGAGGAACTGAGGGAGGCTTTAGCGGAGAGGGCTGCCACGCGTAAAGCAACTCGGGAGCTGGAGGAGGAGGAAGAGGAAGAGGATAGGGTGGTGGTGGTGGTCGAAGAGGGAAAGGAATCGACTGCTGGACCTCCGCCGCCACCGTTGTCTCCGCTTCAAAAATCTCGACGTATCAACGAGGAGTCCAGCACGGTCGCGATGACCGATCTCGAATCACAGAAAACCCTGCAGCCACTCGCCACCATCAGCATTCAAGATCTGACCAGTATCCAACTGCGTAGAACTTCCGCGAAAATGAACGCGACGAAAACGTTCTCGGCGCCTCCGCCGCGCAGCGTATCTATGACGAACGGTAGGTTACCATAGCTAGATTGCGTATATTTATGCAAATTCATATTTTTACGCGTACGATTAAAAAATTGGAACCCGAATTTCCCATAGATTCGTGAAAATCCCGTTATCGATCGCGTTATCTCTGGTCTCGAAGCTTCCATCTATCTTCTTCGTCAGTTTCAGAGCCGTTCTTCGTACAAAAGACCGACTTGATCGCGGAACTGAAGAGAACCAAGGACATCCCTGGAATTAAGAAGATGAAGGTGGAGATGGCGCAGGTGGAGAAGACACAGGAGCAGAATCTCATGTCGGAGATCAACAAGGCGTTCAACGTTTCGAATTTCGTGGATCAGGTGAGCTATCTGAGTCGATTATCGTTTCTCCTTCGTTCGCTTCGTTTAGTCACGATCCTATTCTATTCATCGTGTTTAATCTTCTGTTTCGCCGAAGATCCCAGAGAAAGACAGTTCGGGGAACGTGATACCGATATGGAAACGACAGATGCTGGCGCGGAAGGCCGCCGAGCGAGCGAAGAAGGAATTGGAGGAGCAGCTCGCCAGGGAAAACGAAGAGAGACGACAGAAAGCGATTCCTGCTTGGAAGAGGCAGCTCCTCGCCAAAAAGGACAACGAAGAAAAAAGGTTCGCCGTTTCTTTCTCCGCGATTACCGTAATTCGATAATCAGACCGTGGATTTTTATACTTTTATAGGAAATTTAAAAGCATATAAACGCACCTACATTACCACGCGTATTTAGTAAGCAAGACAAATTTCCGCTTAGGTTCTATTCCTTCGTGTGCCCTTACGTGTCTTTATAAAAATATGAATTTCCACGAATAAATATCCACGGTCTACCGATAACAATAGTAATAGTATTAGCACTGCGATACACGTTGATAGTACGCGTTTCCTCTTTTTAACAGACTGAACCAAGTGTGCGCGACGCCAACAGCCAAAGTAGACGCGGTAGCGACGCCGACGCCAACGCCGACGCCGACATCGAGGAGGGATGTTTCGCCTTCGTCTATCTCATCGCGCACTACCCACCGACACGAAGAGAAACCGGACGTCGAGGAGAAGAAGCCTGCCGACGCGAACTCCTCGCATCAAGGATCGCACGGCACGCAGGCGAACGAAACAGACGACGACGACGCTCAAATTATTCCGTGGCGAGCACAGCTTAGGAAGACCTCCAGCAAGCTCAACATTTTAGATTAATCGTCCAAATTTCTTTCACTGGTCGATTCGACGAGCCTGGTGGTCGCGTGTGATAAAAACGGGTAGTGTTCATCGCGCGGCCATCGAACGCGCTTCACGGAACACGCTGTTTGTTTGTATGTACATAGAGTCGAGTAAAGTTTATATCGAGAAATTCCTTAAAAAACACGTTCGAACAACTGATTTTGCGTTTGTCCCTTCGAAAAACTTCCCTCGATCTTTCCAAAACAGATTCGTAAAAAGAAAATGGAAACGAAAAAAAAGAGATCAGTCCGAGTTCGTTTCATAATTCGAGATATTGAATCCTATAGGTACACGTGACTGAGAATAGAGGTGAGAGGTATGGATATTGCATTGTCAGAGATGCGTGTGTTGGTGCGTACTCGCGATGATAACGACCACCACCGTCCAGTCAGCGTGCAACAGTAGAGGTACTACTACTCGCACAGTCACGAATAGAAATAGAAACAGGAATACTAATACGAGTAATGATGGACGTTTACAGACATATCGCTATATACCCAGTCCGTTGAAGCAATTTGTACGCTGTCGTAACGTCATCATTGGCACGCTGTAGGACCACCGCGCTATTCCATCAACGCGATTCCGTTGCCAGCAACACGCCGAAGTTCGTCTATACTTTGTTCTCGGGCCGAACATTTCTCCCGCGTCGCTAGTTTCGGGTCTTCCTTTCTCGTAGCTTCGTCTCCCTCCGAGACTATTTCACGCGCGTCTCGCCTTTTTTTCCTGGCCGTTTCCAAATTCTATCGGCGTTTCGAAAAAACCGCGTGGTTCTTTTTCCTGCGTTGCAAGAATTACCGGACGTTTTTGCCTAATCCTTTCCACTCGTTCTTCCTTTCTTAACCCCGTTTTACGCCTTTTCTAATCGGAATCGACGATCGAGAAGCGCAACTAGCGATAAATTCTCCTCCGCTAGCAGCGATCGACTTCTAACGCATCCAGGATGGCTTTGAACCACAAGATCCTAGGTAAGCGATCCTTGCATTTACATACACATCGCTGATCGTAAGTATTAGGACATCTATTCGTTACATTCATTGAGAGTTTTAAAGTTACAAGCAACGAGAACGAAACCACGAATCTATATCATCGGTGAAACCTCGTAGAAAATTCTCCTCGACAAGAACAACGGAAAGTATTTGACTCGAACTATAGATCGGCTGATGTTCTAATACTTATGGGTCGACAGTGTATCGCGGAAACCAACCTTCGGATTAACGCTCGTTCAAAGAATACAGTTCGCTAAAGTCGCGACTTATCCGCTACACACGATGACACGCGCGTTCATCCGAATCGAACTTGGAACTTTCGAATCGAATCGAATTCGAACTTATCGAAACGAATCAAAGGTCGAGCGAGCATTATACGCTGAACGCCGACATGCGCTGCTTACCGCAACGAAGATCGCGACACAAACCTCCCGCGCACTGTGCCAGCCAACGCGAATATAAATAGCAGCCGGAAGCGACTGTGAAGTTCTGGGTGAAGGTCGCCATCAATTCTCAAACGCGCCAAAAAACTTCCGAATTCGAGTACCGAAACGATACCGCGCGTCGTTTAGATTTTAAACGCGCGGTTAACACGTTGATTGCCATGCAAATACAGTGGTTACGAAAGGTATTGGCAGGTCATTGTATTCATTCATTCAGCCATTGTATTATAAGATTTACATACTGATTAATTACTATTCGAGTATATTCAATCTCGTATGATTTTGTGGCATACATCGTACGACTACAAAACTTTGATATCACGCAAATGAAATGTAGAATCTGCTACAAAAAAAAAAACGCTTCATTGAAAGATAAAGATATGTGCCAATACTTTTTGTAGTCGCTGTATGTATATTTTGCCCTGAAAGCCGCGATAGATCAAGATACATTATATCATAACTAGACTGCAGGTTTTTCTGTATTTACGATAAATTTAAATGTACGAGTATTCGGAGAGTGTGTATAACATTCGAAAATAAATCATCCAAAGTGGATTACTCGTCGTAACTCTCAGTGAACGAAAGAAATTACCGAATAGGTTTCGATTTCTTTGGTTCTCTTCATAGGTATTCACAATCTAATCGTAACATTCAATTCTTGCAAAATAGTGCATCGCGTTTGCGCTCTTTTTTCCGACCATGATTTCCTTTATCTACATCATTCGTATCGTTGAATATTTTTCTTTAATAATGAACAAAAGGGGGCCTCAACTCCAATGGCCCTGTCCTTGAAATATATTGTAGAGGGGAAGGGCCTGAGTAACATGCACTTGGTTCGTTAGGTTAGATCTTTTGAGGGATCTAACGTAGCTAGCCATCCATGGAATGTAACCTAACCTAACCCTATTTAACAATACCTTACCACAATTAAGTTCGCAATCAAACGCATATGCAATTTCATTTTTGACCACTTATATCGGAGTAAATGCATTCTAGCAAGTATCATTGTCTTCTTGCCATAACTTTTGAACCATGCTCGTCCCACGGCTCGAATAAAGCTCCGAAATTCGACGAAATTATGGTTGAAGCCTCCTTGCGTGTGTAACTGGTCATTTTTTCTAGTCCATGAAATTCGTCTCATTTTAATGATTCTGGAAAAAATTTAGTAAAACGTAGCTCACCAGTGGCCATCGTGTCAGTCAACGTGTTAATAAGAACGATTAATTCCTAACATTGGCGACCGAATCGATGGAATCTGGACGTACTTATCGAGAATTCACGGGTACCGCGCAGTTTTCGTTTAACCTCGATCTGTCCGATCGACTTATTTAGCGACGCAACAAATTGAAATCGGCCTGCTCTATGTAGTACAGGGTCGAATCGCTACCGACGGTGCCAATTGATTTCAAAAAATTGATGCAAGTGGATACGCACGTGTCAAACGCGTGCGGCTAGATCAGTCGTTGGTCCTATTTTGTTTAACGACCTCGTTGTCCACCTACTGTACGTTCCTGCCCGCACCTCGACGAATACACTCCCGATAAGACCCTTGCCGCTCGTGCTTTCAGATTCGCTGACATGTAGACAAGTGTTAAACATCATGGTGATCCTTGGTTTCATGCTAAACTATATGCTACGCGTCAACATGACGATCGCCATAGTATCGATGGTGATTCCGAGCAACGATACTTGGCGGTTGAACGATTCGAGTAAATCTGCCACGACCGAGTACTTCGATCGTGGAATCGCGGTAAACGTTACCTCGCTCGATAATGGAACAGCGACGATCGCCCCTAATCCCGCTACAGCTTCGTTCCCCTATGCGCCTGCACACGTACGTTACAGTTTATCCTTCGAAGGCTTTATCGTTCTTCTTTCATCCGTTCGATACGATCAAGATTTCCGCTCTGCTTCCCAGGAGGAAACGAATCGGACCAGATATCCGTGGAACGAGTACCAAGTGAATCTCGTGTTGGGTAGCTTTTTCTGGGGCTACATATGCACAGAGTTGCCAGGTGGCCGTCTCGCTGAAGTAGTAGGACCTAAAAGAGTGTTTGGATACAGTATGATGGTATCTAGCGCTATTACGTTATTAACACCTCTGTCGGCGACTTATGGCTACATCGCTGTCGTCGCCTTAAGAGCGGTGCTTGGATTCATGTTGGTGAGCTTTTCAATTTTAACTGGTTGGTCTTACCGATCTCCATTTCCCCGTTTCATCTTGTAATAGCGTTTTTCTTTGTTGGCCTACGCCGTGTAATCGATTTCCCACATACGTATGCAGGGAGCTACTTGGCCTGCCATGCAGCCGATGACCGCAAGGTGGATACCACCGACGGAACGCAGCAAATTCGTCTCGAATATGATGGGTAAGTAAATGACTCGTGAGTACAGGGGCGTAGCAAAAAAGTTTAAACATAAAGAGGGGTATGGAAAATAATTCTGCAACACAAATTGTATCTGACAAGAAGAGCGAATAAATATAATACAGTGGCTGCAAAAAAATATTTGTACGTTCCCTTATTTTCTACTGAAGCGTCTTTTTGTCGAGTAGGTACATTTCATTTTCACATTATCAAATAGTGCCTGCTTGTAGGCATATGTAAGTATTACTAAATGACACAAAATCTTCACTGGAACTAATTAAACACCGCGAAATCACTTGGAATTAATTACTTGGTACATGAATGCTGTAATAAATACAACGGTGTGCAAATATGTGCACCTGGTGCAGCCACTGTATATAGTCCGGAATAGCTGGCTGTTAGCAACATGATGAAAAATATCCAATAGAGAAGTTACTAATATGTGCATATACACATATACAAATTGGCAAACTTTAAACTTCCTTTTTGCTCGCTACCATAGGTAGCCCATCCGCGCCGGGTACAGAGATAAAGAAAGAAAGAAATAAAGAAAGAAAGGAAGAAAGGAAGAAAGAAAATTTCTTTGAACGTCGCGTGTCTATCGTGTTTTAGCTTCGTCGCTCGGAGCGGCGATAACTATGCCGATTTGTGGGTTTCTAATCGCTTACCTCGGTTGGGAATCCGTATTCTACGTAACCGGAGCGATAGGCCTCGTATGGAGCGTAGCTTGGTTTTTCTTAATATTCGATTCTCCTAGACAACATCCGAGAATCACGATCGAGGAACGCCAATATATCGAAGACTCGATCGGTTCTACTTCCACGACAAAGGTACGATCGAAGAGTACATATGCGTCTAATTCGATACGTTATCTCTCTCTGTTTTTGGTTTGCAGCGGTTGCCCGTTCCGTGGAAATCCATCTTTCTCTCGACTCCCGTTTGGGCTATCGTGCTGACTCACTCGTGTAACGTGTTCGGTTACTTTACCGTTGTCAATCAACTACCAACTTACATGAAGTACATCTTGAATTTCAACATCAAAGAGGTACGTACCAACGCTTACCTTAGAAACGATGATTTTCTTCGATTTACTCCACCGCGTTCCTTGTTTCTCCATAGAACGGATTATTATCCTCCTTGCCGTACCTTGGCAAATATATCTTCGCCGTTACAACATCCTCTGTGGCTGACTATTTGTTCAAGACAAAGAAATTGTCGGTAACGGCTATTCGAAAGATCTTCACCAGCTTCGGTAAGCGTAGAATTTTGGTCGGGATTAACGTTGCTGCGTTCCACAAATTTTTATATTTTTACCTTGCCTGAAAATTAACGAAACAAGGAAGATGATTAAAAAGATTCAGTAGATTTATCAGCATAGAATTTAAACGAGGAATCATACCCACCGATAAGAATCTTTTCATATTCTGTTTAGACACGAGTTATTTTTTAACATTAGAGAAACAGAAATGAATGGAAAAACGCGGCAGAGTTAATCCGCGTAAGATTACATCGACGTAACGATATTTATTTTATTAGCGAATTATGAGCTCACTGTCCCTCCCGTTTCCTATCACCTTCACATTTTTCTTTGAACGATTCTCTATCGTTTCTGATGACTTTTATCAGGTAAATACATTCTTTAATTGTTATCATAATCTACCTCAAGTATCATTACTATATCTGATATATCAATGAACAGTAGTCAATAGTAAGTATAATAGTAATAATATCAATAGTAATCGATATCTTTTTCCGAGTTTAATAAAGGATTAAAAAATCAAAATATTTTTTTTTATTACGTATCGAGATTTTTTCGCACTCATAATTCGCAACACTCGAGTTTCGATATTCTACAGCTCTTCTCATACTTGTTTCGCTTGTTCGCAGCCGTGTTAAGTCCAGGGTTATTGATGATCGTGCAAGCAAATTACGGATACGATCGCATTACGTCCGTATCGATTTTCACTATTGCTCTGACGATCAACGGTGCAGTAACAGCTGGATATCTGGGGAACAGTTTAGACATTGCACCCAACTTTTCAGGCACTATTTTCGGCATGATGAACACGCTCGGTTCCCTAGGCGGATTTCTAAGCAGTTACATGGTCGGCTCGTTAACCTACAAAAATCAAACCTATTCAGGATGGAGTATAGTTTTTTGGATATTAGGGTGGATTTATTGTCTTGGCGCACTTACGTTTACCATTTTTGGTAGCGGTCAGTTACAACCGTGGAACAATCCCGAGAAGAAGCAAGTACGAAAACAAAGCAACGTAATCACCATCGATCATCCGCAGGAATTCGTTTCGCTAGACGAAAAGACTGTTCCTTAACGAAATAATTGAAAAATAAAACTACAATTTCAACTCAAATGTATGATAACGTGATATTTACTATGTTTTCATAAACAAAACGTATTACCATTATGATTGTTATTAAATCCTGCATCGATCTCCGATATTCCGAAAAAAACGTTCGAGCAGAGACGAGCTACGGTTAGCGACAGAATCTGAAACACTTCGAATCGTTTCGAATCTGTATCGTACATGTGGCGACAAATTTGAACGACTTCTAACACGCTTCGAAACTTAAAAAGACTCGACATCTGTCAAGACATCTGAGAATTTTAAGCTTCGAATCGTGTTCGAAGCGATTCGAATTTTCCCCATACGTACAGATTCATCCCGTCGGTAGATATAGCATTCCGTGCTTTCGATTCGATATTCCGAAATCCTACAACCGAAAAAATAGGCAAAACCTGACGCCGACGCTGTAACGTAATTCCGATTATCTTTCATCGGTTCATTCACATGGCACTTATTAACGATCGGTAAAAAAGACCTCTGCATCCTTCTGTGAATCTGTCCTAAGTTCGAATAATCTATCCTCCGAAGAGAATTTCATTTCCTCCTGCCAATAGTTCGCATCGAAAGACAGTTCGATGGATTATTGTCTTAGCGCGTTTCGATCCACCGTTTGATCGTAAACGAAATCGTCGTAGCGATTCAACATAGCGTAGCGATCGGACAAGTCATACGATTCGATAAAATGTGATATATCGTATAAGATGAAGAAAGGACGATACTATGGGATGGTGCGCCACTGCGTGTCAGCAATTTGAAAATAGGTAGGCGGGTCGAGGAACGAAGGAAGCACGAATGTATCGGCGCGCC